AGTTTATTTATTTGCTGAATTATTTTGCACTTTTTACAGCATACATTTCCTTCAGAGATATCTGGTCATAAAACTTGATTATTATGGTTCATATTAAGAACACCACCAGCATCTTGTACTTCCTGTCTCCTCCTCCTCGTTCCTTAAGTTTTTCCCCTCCCACTCCCCTCCTTCATTGTTCGCAGTGACGCTGTTCCTCAGAATTGGCTTTCTTCTGTCCGTAAGGAGGCTTGTTGCTCGGTATCACGCCTCACTTTAATTTAAATGTTTTAGAATTTAAACGATAGTTTATTAACTTCTTATTCATTTTCAGGTTTGACAATTAACCAAAAATTTGGTTTTTTTTTCTTTTTTGGAAAAAAGGGGACCACTTTTGAATGAATTTCGATGTTTTTTTTTATTTTAGTCGTGTGCTGTTCTCACAAAATTTTAGTGTCGCTCTGATTTTATTTTATGACTTCTTAATGTTGCTTTATTTAGGGCAGTTTTTTCTTATTTTTTTGGCCCTACATAGGTAAATTTAATATCGTTCTTTTATCTAAGCACTGGATAACAATGTGGCTTATTATGTGCTGCATTTAAGCATGCTTTTTTTTTTGCAGGTACCAGACGACGAAAATTGGAAGAAATCCTGGCCTGGTGGACGTTGTGCTGATATCTTCAATACATAGGTAAGTACAGCTCCATTCCTCTCAATATTTACGTTGTGCTGAAGCGGTTGAAGTATTCGCCTATTTATGCATTGTATGTGCAAACTATTGCATGAAAATGCTGCCAATTAGGATTATATCAGGAAATCCATGCCCAATTTGGAAAGCTAAGAACAGAGAACAAGGGGAAAGATTTTTAGGCTACGTAAAAGAAGTAGTAGTGGTATAAATATCCACATTTTAAGAAAAAGTGCTTCACTGCCTGTATGGGATAGAGGCACTTGGAGGTAGCTCGAGTAGTGGCTTATTCCAGTAGCAGCCAAGATCATTTTAGCTATCAGCCCGGGTTTCCTATATTAGTGATATTACTGAGATGCTCCCATACGTCGTTTGCGCACCTATACCAGGTCCTTCAAACACTGGGCTGCTTATAAACTACTGCCGCACGGGTATCTTTATACTGTTGAAGCTAAGTGATGCTGCGCTCTGTTTTGTCTGCGAATCCGTCAAGCTTCAGTCAGAGTATCGATCGGAACGAAACGATTTATTAATGATCTTGTTACAGCTTATCGTTTGATGTCCATTGTGAATTCGTTGTTCTTAGTTTTAAATTTCAATTCTATATGTTTGAAGTGTAAAAGCACAGAATTAAAAAAAAAAAATTACGTACATTCAGAATTTTGGGAGCCATTGAAAACTAAAGAAATCAGATTAAAAATTCAAAAAACACTTGATACTTTGTTAGATTAAGAACTTGTAGTCGGTCACTGTTTGCAGTAATATGATTTCGCGAGAGCACGCTACAATCGTTGTGAAGCCGAGAGCGGATCGCTATGCGTGTTTTATCAAGGATCATTCGCTCAATGGAACCTATATTAACGATTACAGGGTATGCTGCTTCACTTCATAAATTACAATTCGTTATTACTGTGAATATGATTACATCTCTTAAGACCAATTCCCAAGACGAGGAGTTTAGAACCAAATTGAATAATTTTGTTTCCGGCCGGTAGTCTAAAAGAAATTTGGGAGTATCGCTGGATTCTGCGAATATCGTTGGAATCCCTGCAGACTTACTTGACCTAGAAGTTTGATATGGACGGGAATACAGCGCTCGCTGCGCAAAAGGCCTTCGTTATCTCTTCATCGAGTCACCTTCTTTCAAAATTGCGGTTTTGCCAAAAGCTGAAGAGTGGACCAGGGCGGAATTGCTGTTGTCCGAAAAAATTAACACTGGAGAAAAAATCCTATGATGAAACTACGCATTAAAAAGTTGGGACAGCAACAGTTCTTTATGAAAATTTCGATACTCATAGATAGCAGATTTTCTGTCCTGTATCCCCAAACGGTAGCCTAAAAACCCCGCTTTTTTTCCAAATTTTTTGAATGACGAAGAAGAGGACAAGCATGTACAGTTTGCTTTCAGGCGTATAAAGCAAGCACTATTTTCTGAGGTAGGAACTGTTATTTTTTACGCCTTTTTGCGGCTTGTGTACGAAGGCATTTTGGTTTCGTACAAAAATGCAGTACAGGAAGGAGCCACGGTGAAGAATGACCTTTTGAACGAACATAAGAGCACTATCTGCAAAATTTGTTATAAAAGTTCGTTAAAAAAGATGCGTTTTGGTCTCCTTTTGTAAAAAAAGGGCAATATTTGCAGACAATACTTCTTTTATCCAGAAAAATTGCCCCCCGGAAAAGATGCCATGTCAAATGAAACACTGTTGCAGGTACTTGGAGATAGGACCGAATTGAAGCAAGGTGATGTGATAAAGTTTGGACACGTGAATGGAGCAGCGATTAAACCAGGATGCCACGGACCGCAGACTGCAGCCGAATTCACATTTGTTGTAAATTTTTTGTATTTACCGAAATTTAGCAGTTTTTCTTTAGCGACTCAGAAGCACAAAAAGCGAGTTTGTTTAGCGTTTTTATATTTACCGTAAACTCCGCGGAATCCTTGTTTTTTTTTTTTTTTTCGTGGGAGAATCACTCGAAGCACAACATGCAAACACTACTCTGTTGTAGCAGTTGGAAGTGGATTTGTTGTAACAAATCTGTAATTGTCAAATTAGGCCTGAAAAGGATTAGACTTTCTGGAACAAAGGAATGTGCGGACGACAAACCTGACAAAGTAAAAAAAAAAAAAACTGACAAAAACTCGCTTTCAGAATTGTTAGCTAATAATACTTACTAGGCCTGAAAGCACTGTCGTCCAGAATAGTCCACCTATGCCCAAGAGAGAACCTGTAGTTGACGACGGTAAGAAAAGGAGAGGCGGAGAGGAAAGGGAGAATGGTGTTCTTGACCCTCCTCACCCCTCCCCTCTCCTTTTCTTTTTCATCCCTTTGCATTTTTCCTGGTAGGGGGGTCCTGATTCAGAAAAGTGACATCCGCATGAAGAAAGCAAACACGTTCAAAGCTTCATAAAGATTTTCAGTTATGAAGTTAAGACGTTTGAAACTAATTAAATGCGCAGCGGGCCAGAACAGCTGACGTGTGGTTGCGGCTCAGCATTTCATGCACACAGTTTGAGCAGTTTTTGTGAATAATTATCATGTTAGCCTACAGTTCATACAAAATGAATTGATTATTTGCTGCTGTATGATTTGAATAAATTTCAAATTTTTCAGTTCGAGGAGGCACCACCGCATCGTTTAGGGGACAGAAGGCGACCGATTACAATTGTTGGCAACTCACGAGCACCAGATTCCACAACGAATTCACCTCAGGTAATACCATCATTTTTGTTGTGTGGTTGGTTGTAAATCTTTTGAATATTTTGAGTAATGCTTTACTCTGTTGAACAGTTAGTAACAGCAAAATAATTTTTTTTTTTTTTTTTTTTTTTTT